CACTGTGTAACTGGAGAATTGTATTGTGAACCTGATTGGAAAAGAGTAACCTATGGAGTTTCTTGCTCGTTCTTCTCCATAGGAATCTACACCTTAGAATGAGCAAATAGCTTCACTTTTAATTTTTTTTGACGTTCAAAAGTGCTTTCCTGGTCTAATTGAAATAAATGATTTTGACTTTAACTTTGACAAACTACTACGCAGTTTGACAGATGCTGAATTTCGGAAATTTTCATGTTTGTAATTAAATTGATTAAAAAAGTCGTGGTGGCCCGGAGGTTAAGACGCCTGTTTCTCATGCATGAGGATGTGGATTCGAAACTTAGTAGTTAACAGAAAGACCAATGGGAAATTTTTCGAGTTATATGTACTTTCTAAGATTATCTAGACACCACTGTCAAACTTGAAGGAAAACATCGTGAGGAAACCTGGGCTTATAATTTCTTGGACTTATTTGTGGTGATCAATGCTCAAACCTTCTCCGTGTGAGAAGATGCCTAAGTTGTACTACTAACACTAGTCGTGGATCTAAGTCTTGGATCATTGTTATCTGAATAAACAGGTTTTATTATTATTATTATTTGCTCAGCAATGGCCACTTATAAGCTGTTGTGCGGTTGATGAGATATGTATGTAGAGGTATGTATGAATTAAAAAAATGTGACGGAGTACTTTGTGTTATGATTAGTATCTATATTCTGTGATACAGTTGTATCAATGTCTGTCGCTCAAAACTCCCTCATATATCCAGCTCATAATACCTTTTTTAAATCCGCATTTTCAAGTCGTCGGCTTTTTTTTCCGAACCGATACGACCTTCAAACCTTCAAGAAAAGAGCGTATTCCTGTTTAAACGGCCGTCAACGCACCTGTGACTCCTCTGGTGTTGCGGGTGTCCATGGGCGGCGCTGATCGCTTACCATCAGGTGACCCGTCTACTCGTTTGCCTCTTATTCCGTTAAATAAAAACGTCGAGTACCGCCCCTTATAAAGTAATACGTTAAGTAGCAATCAATAAGTTAATGTTCGGGGGCACACTGCCGCGATGTCACGACCACGGTGCAGTTGTTAACATTTTTATATTTTACTAGCGTTTACCACGGACGTCGCCCGCCTTCCCCGGGATAAAAATTACCGTATATGTATGATTCCAGACTGTAATATAGTCTATCTCTGATCCTCTGAGCCGTTTTGACGTGAATACAAATATACATACAGACCTCCATTCGTTTTCACTCACATTTATAATACTTGTAAGATAGGATATACTGCTGTCTTGTTAGTAGTTACCTGAGAGATGTTGTGATTGACGAGTCGGGAACAAGGTATCCCACAAAATACATTTTCTTGTAAAATATTGCCAACGCCAATAGCTGGCACTGTCAATAAGTAATCAGATCTCATGTAGAGCTAAGTGTGTACCCTGCAAAGTACCAGTATTGGCAGAATCTAATAAATCTATAAACCCTAATTTTACATTTAAGTAGCGGTGCCATACCACAATCGTAGCTCATATTGCGTAGCTCGTAGTGCGTAGCCCGTAGTGCGTAGCTAGTAGTGTGTAGCTCGTAGTGCGTAACTCGTAATGCGTAGCTCGTAACGCGTAGCTCGTACAGCGTAGCTCGTAATGCGTAGCTCGTACAGCGTAGCTCGTACAGCGTAGCTCGTACAGCGTAGCTCGTAGAGCGTAGCAGCGTTCTCCAATGGTATCTCATAGGTCTGCTAACCGTGACTGGGGTACACAGGTCTTAATTAAATCATTCTTCATATCACGCCTTTTATTTACCAAATGAATAGACAAAAATACACAAAACAGAAATGTGGCATTATCGTAGTACTAACGAAATCGTAATGCTACGTAGAGTTATAACGCGCCATCTTACGACATCTTCCCAAACTAAATTACCTACACAGTTGAGGAGTTTGCACGGCTTCATCTGTGTCGACATAAATACTATTTGTGAGATTTTGAAGGAGGGTCGTATTTTAGTGAACATTTTATAGATTTTTTTATTTTGTTGCTTGAAGAAGCCTGTTAGGTGCTAACAACAAGTGTTGCTCAATCGTGTCGCTAATTATTTTTGGCTTGGAACTTTAAGTGTTATTTATATTAGGTACACGACACACCGAGCTATACAGGACCAGTATATCATGGTCTTGGTTTGAATGATCTCTCCGCACAGTCGACGGTCAGTTTATACTGGTTTTGCATAGCTTGATGTGTCGCCACGTGTCGTGTATTATTTGCGACATTTTCATGGAGGGTCGAAATATCAACTTTATTTGTAACTGTTTTTTAATTTTAATTTTTTTCTCTTATAGAGAAGTTCAACAAGTGCAGTGTTGCTCAGTCGTGTCCCTAGATACTTCGTCACTTCAAAGGTTTATGTTCTGTGCTTATTTTTCTTGCTTTATTTAGATTTACTGCCTCGTTGGCCAAATGTTTGCAAGTGCGACTGCTGGGCAACGGGTCTCGGTTTCGATTCCCGGGTCGGGCAAAGTATAACTGAATTAAAAAAAAATCTCAATAGCATCACGGAGTATGGAATTGTGCCCGGTATATGGCAATAGGCTCACCCCCAATAGCGAAAAGTTGGTATTACATGATTGTACAGTGGCATTAAGTGCTGTAATGTGCACCTCTGCTTACCCTAAGCTTTACTGGTTTCGAGCCACAGAGGGTTGAGGAAGAGTCCTCAATAGGGAAGATGACTATAAATTTTAATGTCCGTCTGGTAGATTATTTAAAAACATTAAACACGAATTTATCTTTCTTACAGAATCGAATAGTTTCGACGATATATTGATTTGATTTGAAATATTGCGTGACGTCACTTTTGAGTACGTTTTATACTCTAAAATGACGTACCTTACAAAGTAGCTACTTCCCAATCCTGAAATTTGATTCGTATTAGCTAAGTATTGTTTTATTATACGACAAAATAAAAAAATACGTGTCTAATATTTTTTCATTACCTAACTGACGGACTAATTAGATTTTTAATTTTCATACTCTGTCATTATCCCTACTCCAGACTTCGAGCTACTAATGCGAATTAGTATTAAAAACTCAGGAATAGAACAGAAAATGAGCAACTAATTGTTTAAGTAGGTAATCAATAAATCTATCTGTGATCTTGACTGAAATCACTTCAGTACAACTCCGTTATCGCTTAGCCGAAATGTGCATACAAATAAGGTAAGTAGGTAGAAGACAATCTGAGGTAGGTATGCAAGCCGTGTCAATCTGTGAGTCAATATTAAAGTACGTACAGTCGGTAGGAACATGATTGAGACTATGTTTACTCTTTCAGATTATCAGACACAAGCAAATCTACCAATTTTAAATTACAATTTCTTTTTCTATAAAAGTTTTAACAAACTGACTGCCTCTTTGGCCTAGTGGTCGCAAGTGCGACTGCCGGGCAAGGGGTCTCGGGTACGATTCCCAGGTCGGGCAAAATATTACTGGGTTTTTAAAAGAACTCTCAGTAGTAGCACGGAGTCTGGAATTGTGCCCAGTATATGGCAATAGGCTCACCCCCTATTACATGGGACTCATAACATAAATAGTGAAAAGTGGGTGTTACATTGTACAGTGACATAATGTACACCTCTGCCTACCCCTTCGGGGATAAAGGGCGTGATGTTATGTTATGTTTTAACAAACTTAATTGTGTTTTTTTTTAGAGACGAGTAGACGGAGCGCGTGTAAGACTCTTACTGACTAAAAACCACCCCGTTCCTACTCCTGCACTTCGAGCCGGAGCCCCGGCAACCCGTTAGTCCTTCCGCGGCTCCGTATCGGCATCAGCAATATTGGGAGATCGTCCGGTAACCCGGTAACGGTTAAACTGGCCGTGACTCCGGATATATTCGTATAACTATAGCATACCGATGCTATCTATACCTAGCTATCGTGCAACTAACACCGACTTATAAGTAACAATTTATAAATGAATTCTCCCGATACGTGTAGGTACAATGTACACATATACAGGGCTATTCCACATCAAGCTATACAACCAGTATAAACTGACCGGTGAATGTGCGGACAAATCATACAAGGCTAGGCCAGGATATATTGGTTATCATGCCTTGATGTGAAGATGTGCCTACATTGGGTACAAAGTGTGCCGGTGCTAGCCCGCGGCCACGTCCCCAGGGGACCTCGTCCGTCTGTATTTATGAAGATATTTGCTATTTATTGCGTTCACACTGATTTATAAGAACCCCGCTTGACTTGTTATATCGGGCTGATTGACTGGCTGGCTGCTACCTAACTACACTTAACATTTTTGATCTACTCGATTTATATGACTTTCCTTCACTCCTGACATTAAACCAATTCATAATGATTGTCGAAACCGACCGGCAACATTCATTTTTCTGTATTTTTTTTTTTAATTTGCGTTAATAAAAACTCGAATTAATATTTGTAGCTGCATAAAAATGTAGGCTTCTATCTTAAGACCGTTTTCCGAAAACAGCGTCGTGTTAAACAGTTGTATACTTCTGTTTACTGCTGCGTGGCCACGTCAAATACACACAGTCGCCTTCATTTTCTCCAAATGAAGAGACTATAAAACGATTTTCCACATTTAGATCGAAAATAGGTGGTATAGAGGGCTATAGTGGTATTCACAGCTATAGAGGGCTTTTTTTTTTTTTAAGGGGGGAAAATCATCGAATGACTGCTCCCGCCTGGGTGAGGCGGGAGGGAGTGTCAGACTCTTACTGACTAAATACCACCCCGTTCCTTCTCCTGCACGTCGAGCCGGAGCCCCGGTTACCCGTTAGGTTCTCCGCGACTCCGAACGCTATAGAGGGCTAGAGAGCAGTTAAGTAAATGCCTTCAGTTTTTTATATAAAAGCCTATAATTCAAACACATCAAATATTTTTTTTTTTTTTTTCTTTTTGGCAACGGAGTCTCCACACATCAAATATTAAAAGTTGCAATGACATTATGACACTGACAGTTGACAGTAATTAAGCCGTCATTGGAACACACGTCATTTATTGTATTGGATTGGTTGAACGGGTCACAAACGAAGAGAAACAAAACTTATTTAATATTATAAATTATTCCACAACCTCTCTAGTATCAGGTTAATTAATTATTTATTAGTTTAGAACTCATTGAACTGTCATTATTGTATTGACTCATCATTAATCGAACAATTTCGACGATACATTGTTGCATCCTGTTGTGTGGGTGTTAAAATATCGTGTTTTTGTGCAATTTCCAAGGTTTTGCTGATAAAATGGATCCTCTGATGGAAGAAGAGATATTCGCAGAGGAGCAGGCCACTGGCACGAGTCTGTTCAGCCCCGTCACCACCAGTAAGTGTAGTTATTCATTTGTTTGCAAAGCTTGCATCAAAATGTAGATTATTTTAGTTTTAGAAGTTTCACAACTATTTCATCTGAGTTTATAGCAGCTATTACTGTGTTAACTGTTCAACAAAGTTTAGGTGGAAGCGAAACTTCTTGAATAGATACTGAATTTTGCATTTCATAGTAGTATGTTCAGGTGTAGTTCAGTAAACTCAATGCCAACAGCTCATGAAGTTGACCAGGATGCTGTCACTCGCTTGTACAGCCGTGGTAGTAAAAGTTTAATCTAGTATAATTGACTGCTTCATTGGCCGAGTGGTCGCAAGTGCGATTGCCAGGCAAGGGGCCTCGAATTCAATTCCCAGGTCGGGCAAAGTATAACTAAATTTTTAAAAAAGATCTAGAAAAATCTGGAGTCAAGATTGTGTCCGGTATATGGCCATAGGCTCACCCCCTATTACATGGGACTCATAACATAAATTGTGAAAAGTGGGTACATTGTACACTTGCACAGTGATATTAAGTGCTGTAACGTGCACCTCTTCCTACCCCTTCCAGGATAAGCCACACCATTCCCACTCCTAGAGTTAAGTATTTCACAGTATGGGAAGGAGTGTAGTAATACTCAGTTATCCCGTCTGTTGTACCTAAACAAGTTATTGTTAGCATTAAATTGTTATCTCTCAGTAGTGATGTGGCAACAAATATCCTCAACATACATTACAACAAAATTATTATAAATATTTAAACATAACATTCAATTTAATAAACCGAAAATTATGTAATATAATGTGGGGAAAATCATCCAATTACTGCTCCCGTGTTGGGTGAGGCGAGATAGTGTCAGACTCTTACTGACTGAACACCACCCCGTTCCTATTCCTGTTTTGAGTCGGAGCCCTGGTAACCAGTTAAGTTGTCCGCAGCTCCCGTATTTTTAGATAAGATTAGGAGTGTGAGCATCGTTAGGGATTCAGGAATTAGGGAGATTGGGAAAGGAAAGGGTAATTGGGCCTCCGGTAACCTCACTCGCACGATGAAATATAACGCAAGCGTTGCTTCACGTCGGTCTTGTGCTCGTTGGTGGTATCACTCCGGTCGAGCCGACCCATTCGTGCCGAAGCATGGCTCTCCCACACTTAATATGAACTTGAGGCAACCTTCAAATGGTTTAATTCAACCTTCTAACCTTAACATTTACTAATGATGTGAAACAATCTAACAAGTTCTTTATTCCAGCATTCCAGTTCCTGGCAGCACACGGGTGGTTTGTCCTGGGCGGCATTGCAGCGGCCATCTACTTGTACCACAAGTTTCGGCCGACGCTTGACAGATGGCGCCAGCAGCGTGAGGACGCCGAGTACCATAAGAGTGAGTGCAGTTCAACTGTTGTGTACCTACTGTTGAATTTGCACGCTACTTTAATGTGTGCGTTACCCAGGCCAGATGTTGTCGAAAATGGTCATTTGAATCTTATAGATAATTAGTTGTGCGGCTTCTGTAATTGTTGCGCACATTTTTAAATTTGTTGCGCTTATAGTTTTTTTAATTATTTCACAAAATCATTTCCTGCTGGGGTAACGTTACCCCAGCCAGACCTTTTTCTTTCTAATGGGAATATTATAATTACTAACTATAACATTTGTTGTCTAGAGGAAGTAAATGTTGTGCCTTATTGCAATATCTCCATAGGGGTGGTAAATTCAAAGACGTGTTGCTTCCAATAAGTCTAATTTATTATTGCCAAATTTCCATATATTCAATAACCATACAACACTAAAGTACTTAAAACTATTCATTAACATTTCTAACATTTTTAACATTAAACATTAACATTAAGAAAGTGCTCTAAACTTCTCTTATGAACAATAAACTTTTACGGTCACTTATGCGTTTGATATCTACCTACGACCTTACACCCCGTCGCATTTGTCTGTCTGTGGCATGGCGTTGCAAGTACACGCACACATAAATACACCGCTGACATTTTGGTGTTCCAATCATTTCTAAGTCACATTACTGCTCAAATACTCAAACGGTATATACTCAATTTTAAGTCGCGCTTAAGTATAGTTCTACGCCACGATATTTAAGTACTACTTAAAGTTGACTAGCCTTTAAATATTCGGGCGTAAGTCCGCCTTTTTCTTCGACGTCCTTGTGCCCGGGCGTTGAAGTGTATCATAGCTACCAAGTAGGTAACATTTCAATAAATTACGTAGATAATTAATTGATTGTGAGTATTTTTATAATAACTATCGTGAGACATAATTAGTTACTAAAAATCGCGGGCTACTCATTTGAAAATACTAAAAAAGTAAAAGCTCTACTAGTTTCGAACCACAGAGGGGTTCTTCTTCATGAGCGTCGTGCAGCCTAGTTGATGCTAGCGTCGGTGCCGTCAAGTCAGTATTTTCACGTAAGTAACCCGCGATTTTTAGTTAATTTAAATTATTATAAGTCTGTGCTCTATGCCTGGGCACCATTGACGCCGCCTTTACGGTACTGACCACGACTCGCACTCTTATAATCACATATTTAATTGTTTTTAATGTAAGTTAATGATTCTTGTCTAGATCCTGACGTAGCGCTGGCTCGCATGGAGGCGGTGCAGCGCGCGCGTGAGGCGCAGCAACAAAAGTTACTCGCTGACTCACAGAGGGCGCTCGAACTGCAAAAAGAGGTACATTAGGAACTTGTCGTGTCACAACTTACTGTCATCCTACGTGTCTGCAAATAAACATCATTTTTGTAATCTTTGTACTATTTGAAGTCTTGCTATTCTATCACTCACTTCCAAATCAAAGGGATGACCTACTGACTTAATATCCTGTGTATCCTAGATAGGACAGAGGGCGTCCACTAAAGTTCTCCCTGGCGATCTGTCTTGAGCTTCACGCTTCACCTCCATGTTTGCCGAGGACGGCCATGCTTTCTTTTCCCTTGGGCATTCCAGTCCAAGGCTTGCTTGGGTATGTGGTCAGGACCCCTGCGGAGCGTGTGACCTATCCATCCCCACTTGTGGGGCTTGATCTGGCGATCGGTTGGGCTTTCGTGGCATTTCTCCAAAAGCTCTATGTTGAAGATTGTCTCGGGCCAGTAAATTCCGAGAATGCGACATTGCGTTGCAGGCATCGGTTGACGAAGACTTGAAGCTGGCGTGAGATGTCTTTGGTCACTTTCCACGTTTCGCACCTTAGAGCAGAACGGATTTTACGTTGGACCCGAAGATTTTCAGCTTAATCCTTCGGGTCAGTTTCCGTGACTGCCACACAGGTCTCAGCTGCGTGAACGTAGCTCGGGCTTTGACGATCCTTGAAGTGGAATGTTTGGTTTTGTTGCGGAATGTATCAAGAATGTTTATGTTCTACGAATTGTTGAGGTTTATTGTTTACCTTTGATGGTTGATTGATATTGAAGACACTAAACTTACGGCAGTGTCAGGGGTGATATAATTATGCCACATATACTATGCATACATACTATGTTCTAATATAAAAAGAAAAATATTTCTAATTGTATTGTTTGTGTACAGCGCGAGGAACGCAAGCGCGCTGAGTTGACGGAGCGGCTGGAGAAGTATGGCGCCGCCGCCGGTGGGCAGAGGCTCGGGGAGAGGAAGGATGAGAACGGTACGCTATATTATAGTGTTCATGAATGTATTGATTAGGGCCCATTTTTCAATCATCAGTTAGTCAATAACTTTGAACATTTGACAATTCTTCCGTACTAAAAATTGTCAAGTGTAAATTTTATTCTACAGCTAAGAATTAACGAATGATTTAAAAATCGGCCCTTAGTTGATTGAGTTAGTGTAATTGTGTGCGTTACCTAGGCCAGATGTTGTCGAAAATGTTCATTTGAATTTTATAGATAATTAGTTGTGCGGCTTCTGTAATTGTTGCGCACATTTTTTGTTGCGCTTATAGTTTTTAATTATTTCACAAAAACATTTCCTGCTGGGGTAACGTTACCCCAGCCAGACATTTTTCTTTCTAATGCGAATATTTAAATATTTACTAGGTATAAAACTAGTTGTCTAGATGAAGTAAATGTTGTGCCTTATTTGGAATTTGTTCTTTCATCATTTGCGAAGTTATTCGAGATTCTGCTGGGGTAACGTTTTTGGTTTTGCTAGATCTTGAAATGGTTAACACGTTAAACGCCATGGCAGTCACTGGTGACCGACATTAGCGGAGGATTTGCCTTCAATAGTTTTTTATTGGCAGCCAATGCCTTAAGCGGATTCTTATAATATTTTGTACATGGCTTCTTAGGATAAATTTGTTCTGTAATAAAAAATGATAGCGGCGGTGATAGCGAGACTGACCGACTCATGGACCACATCCAGACGGCTGTAGATCTTGTGCAGGGACCTTCAGCGGAAGTGGTTTTGCTTGGCGATTTCAACGCCCATCACGCCGAATGGCTTTGCTCCAGTAAGACTGACCACGCGGGGAGATCTGTCCAGGACATTGCCCTTGCTTCTGGACTGACACAATTGGTGACCGCGCCCACGCGAATCCCAGATGTGGAGGGCCAGAGGTCTTCACTGTTGGACCTTCTGCTGACCTCTCACCCGGACGGCTACAGCGTATCTCGTCTCTTGGCTCATAGAACCATTGTCTTGTCCGGAGTTCTGTATCATTGACGTGCTCACCGCGACTACAAGAGGTGCAAGGTCGCCGTGTATGGCACTGTAGGTCGGCAGACTGGGGTGGGATGTGGTCCTTTTTTTTCATCCTACCCTTGGAGGCGGGTTTGCTTCTTGCAGGATGATCCCAACGCCGCTGCCAATTCTGTTTCTGATGTGGTGCTGCAGGGGATGGGGCTTTTCTTCCCATCTTCTCTGGTCCCCGTCGGTGGCAGATATCGGCCCTGGTTTGGTGCTTCTACCAGAAAGGCCTTACGCAGAAAGCGGAGGGCCTACCATGCCTGGGCCGATGCGGTAGTGGCACGGGATGTGAATACCAGTGCACTAAAAAAGGAGTATAACTTTGCCCACAAGTCCTCCAAAAGACGTATTGCGGTGGCCGGTGACCAAGTCGCAGCACATTGGTAGAATTGGTGAAAGGCTTGAGCGCCTTCCTTCAGGAACTCGTGCATTCTGGTCGCTCGCCCATGCTATGGAGGGCAATTTCTGCAGGCTATCATTTTCACCTCTGCACATGGGTGGGGATTCGTTGGCTCATGACGCAAGGGATAAAGCTCAACTTTTGGGGGAAATCTTTGCGTCCAATTCGTCACTGGATGACGGTGGGCGCGAGCCGCCTGTTGTACCGTGGTGCGGAAGCTTTATCCCTTATCTTATCCCTTGACGTCCATAAGTCGAGCGGGCCTGATGGGATCCCACCCATTATTTTGAAGATGTGTGCTCCTGAGTTAGCACCAGTTCCAACACGTCTTGTTCGGCTCTCTTACTCTTCAGGCGTATTTCCGACGACATTGAAGACAACTTTAGTGCACCGATCCCTAAAAAAGGTGATCGATCTAATCCGTCCAACTACAGACCGATAGCCATAACTTCTCTCTTCTCGAAAATAATGGAGTCCATTATTAACTGCCAGCTCCTGCGTTACTTAGAAGATCGTCAGCTGCTCAGTGACCAGCAATACGGTTTTCGTAAAGGTCGGTCTGCTGGTGATCTTCTAGTTTACCTAACGCACCTGTAGGCACAGGCGATCGAGTCTAAGGGGGAAGCGTTGGCAGTAAGTTTGGACGTGGCGAAAGCTTTCGATCGGGTTTGGCACAGAGCGCTTCTTTCGAAGCTTCCTTCTTACGGACTTCCCGAGAAATTATGCGAATGGGTCTCTTGCTTCCTTGAAGACAGAAGTATTAAGGTTGTTGTCGACGGTGAATGCTCTGACTTGATGTCTGTAAACGCAGACGTCCCTCAAGGCTGCGTGCTGTCGCCTACATTGTTCCTTATGCATATCACTGACATGTTGCAAATCAGCGGCATTCATTGTTATTCGGATGACAGCACAGGCGATACCTACTACACCGGCCGCGCTAACATTTCTCGGGAAAACGTCATAGAGAGCCGAAACAGACTCGTGTCTGAAATCGAGACTTCTTTAGGGAGAATCTCTGATTGGGGTGGACTTAATTTGGTTCAGTTTAACCCCACTAAGACACAGGTCTGCGTGTTTAACCGCTAAAAACTGCCGTTGGTCGTATCTCCTCAGTTTCAAAGTAACTGCCTCAGCCGGTATTGGAATACTTGGTGTCAGCATTTCGAGCGACGTCCAGTTTTGCGGTCATCTAGAGGATAAGGCCAAATTAATCTCGACGAAGCTTGGTGTGCTTAACCGATCGACGTAGTATTTCACCCCGGCCTAACGCCTACTTCTATATAAGACACAGGTGCGGCCCCACACGGAATACTGTTCTCATCTTTGGGCGGGTGTACCCCAGTACCAGCTTCTTCCTCTGGACCGCGTTCAGCGGCGTGCCGTTCGAATTGTTGGATGTTGGGATGTTTCAAACCGGCTAAACCCTTTGGGGGTAAGAGAAGGCGATGTCATTTCTCCCAAATTATTTACCAATGCTTTGGAGGATATGTTCAAGACGCTGCACTGGAACGGACGGGGCATAAATATAAACGGCAAGTATCTCTCACACTTGAGATTTGCAGATGACATCGTCATCGTGGCTGAAACCGTGCAAGACCTACAATATATGCTGAA